AATGAGCAAATGATGAAATTGTGTTAAGAACAATGAATGAAAGTGGCTCAAAAAAAGGAAGACATTTTTGCAAAGAAAAATTCATATTATGAACATGTGTATTAGTAATACTACGGGTAAAGGTATAATAATAATTTTATGGGCACTTTGTGTATTAATAATGGGGGTATTAGTGATACGTACAGAGTAGATAAACTGTATGAAGGCCTATACTTAAAGAAACAAATTATGAAAACCCCAACCATACGTTGCAAAATCTGGAGTAAGGAAGGTCAAATATGTAATGAAAATGAAATTGCTAAAAAGAAATACAAACAAGTCCATTGGGAAGCCATTCAAAATGTGGATGGGGAATAAAAATGGGGACGATTTTTAAAATATCAAACGAATCACACATAACATAAACTCCGTGCTGGCGTACTGAATATATCGGTAAAAATGACCAGCGTGTCAGGGGAGGGGGGTGTCGGTAACACACGAGCAAAAAACAAATCAGTTTAAATACAGTCTTGTATAATACAACGAAATAGCATGAAGAAAAATCTCAAGAAATATAAGGCATTGATTGGTCCATTTAAAAGTGAGTTGAGATGATGTCACGAGGAAGGGGAAACAAGTCATAATGAATGGGCGGAATTTCAAGTTGTAAGAGTTTTGTTTAAAACGATTATTTAAAAAAAACAACCAAAAAAAAAATATTCAAACTACACTACAACAGTTATATGAACAGTTTTGGTACCGTACTTAAACATATAGTTGGGGGGAAATATGTTCAATTTGGAAAGGTAATAATTAATAATAAAACAAGTCCACACAAATTTAATAAATAATAATTAGACAATTAAAAAAAAACAACTTAATAATATATTTTATAAAACCCAGAAAAATACAAAATGAATTTTAAGATATACAATTTACATTTAATGCAAACTTGTTGTTAATACTGAACTTGGTGGTTGATCAAATAGGTGGTTAAAACATTTAAAGAAAATTCTTTTTTAGAAAAAAAGAAGTATTGTGGTAATCAAGAACACATTAAAAAATAAATTAACAAGTCTGATAAATTGACAAAAATTAAATGTGAATAATAAATATATTTCTTTTTAAAATTCAGAAGAATGCATGCATAATGTCCAAAAAAAATATTATTACAAAAAGTTTATGGAGTCCAAATTATAGAGACAATTTGATTCAAGCGAGTAAGGAAGCATTTGAATTCATCTTCACTTCAAGTGTGCTTCATGGCTTTCACTTGTAAATTATTCTAAAAAGTTGTTTTTTTCTCTTCAAATTCAGCTGAACCAATTTATTTAAACCTTTCTTTTATGCCTTTATTGCCTTAATTTATTTTATTTATAAGAATATCAAATGATCATATATAATTTATTAAAAGATATTAGAATACAACATTGAAAAACAGTAATGTTGAGCTACAAGTTTCAACAAAAAAAAAATAAATAAATAAAAAAAAATATTAAAAAGTTTACAAGAAATATATTAAAATTATTTCGTCACCCTCATTTCAATAGGCCATGTTGTTCAAAGTAGATACAACATAGTAATAATAATAATAATAATAATAATAATAATATACATTTTTTTAAAATAAATAAATCTAACTTACATCTAGTTAGTCAATGATCATAGTCATAAGAAATTAACTACTAAATGCAAGATGCTGTCCAATAAATTAGTATAAATAATGGTGTCACCAAACATACTGCCATTGAGAAATAAATAAATAAATATACAAATTCTTGAAACTACCATTGAAAGCATAAGCCTTTTTAAATAATGCACAGTAATATACGAATTGTCACTGTCTACAATTTTTGTATGTGTCAATGTACAAAATTCGATAACAGTTCCAATACGGAAGTCAACTATTGTACTATAAGGTTTTCGTTTAAACTTTAAAAAAGGAGAAAAAAAATGTTACAAGAAGTTTAAAAAAATAATAACTGAGTTAAATGTCTTTTTTTTTTCAATAAGAAATAATAACTTGTTAAGAAAATATTTTAAAAAAATTCTTTAAAGATAGGAAAATTCAATATGCAATACTTATTGCAAACCATGCTTTTTTTAAAAAAAAAACGATATTTTTGTCATAAACATTTTTGGATTAAATAAAATAAAACGACATACAATACACAATAGATGAACAGAGCAATAATAACTTAAGGTAAATAAATCCTATGTACAAGATCTTTCATCACATGCCAGCCGTACATACATTCCAGTAAAAGGGGAATAGTGCAATGTCAGCGCTGTTCAAACGGATGTGACTGGCAGAGAAATAAATATTTTGTGTTTTCGGTCAGACTACAAATCTGCAGAATTCTTATCAAAATTTCGCGGAAGACGCTAGAATAATTTATTATGAAATAAATAAATCAACAAGAAATATACATTAAGCCAAAGATTATTTTTCCTTCTAAAATTTTACAAATATTGTTGAAAAAATATCTGTTTTAAATAATACAGACTACAATAGCAATTTTTTTTTTTTGGTTTTGTTTTTTCGTGTGCTTTACCAATTAAATATTTAAATTGATGTTTTAACATATTTGTCTTACTTAAATGCCATTAAAAAAAATATTTTACAGACTCCGTAACTACTGAATACTTCTAAAGGTAAGATCCACCTTAAAAAAAATCCAGATAGAAATGATATAATTCACGGGCCTGTCTTAGTTTAATAATTACACAGAATTAATAATTTATAAATAAATTAACGCGCTCTTAACACAGCTGGGAAAAAAAATTAAATACACATCACAAAGCTATATGAGTCGTGTCAAGACTAGAGAGAACAACATCGCTGAACAATTTTTAGGTGAAAATAAATAAATGACTACGTCTCAATAAATAAATAAATGACTACGTCTCAATAAATAAATAAATGACTACGTCTCAATAAATAAATAAATGACTACGT